GCAGGAGGCGTTCCCATAGTGAGACACTCACTCATGCTACTCAGAGAACCGGGGTTATATACATAACCTTAAGTTTTCAGTTAGACTCTAACCTTTCCTCTGGACATGTAATGAAGTTTTATTTCCGTATTTGTTTTTATCTGGAGTATTAGAAGGTTTTACTGAACATTTCTTATTTGTTCTGAACCATCATCACTAATACATCAATACATCCCGTCTTGCTCTCTGAGAAGGATCCCTTGGATATAAGAAAAGATGATTTGTCAGCTTTATTTAAAAACAAAAAAAAAATCACTATCTGCAGCTTTATTTTTAAGATGACAAGAATGTTTTATTCAATATAACTGATAATAATATAACAATAAAAGGACATAGCTATCTCAAAAATCGTGGCATTGTTGTAGCATGTATGCTGCAGTACCTATATCATTGCTAAGATTACAAAGATTTAATAAAGACCTATGTATATATGGGAGACTTGAGGTGGTGGGAAACGGGGTCCAACACACTGCAACAATCAAGATGCATTTTTTTTGTTAAATCAAATGTGCATATAAAAGATCATGAAACTGAATTTTTTCATCGTCTTCTCTCACAAGGACTTGGACATGACATGAATGGATTTCATTGTACATTCAGGATTTTATTTCAACCACAGGTTTCTTTTCCCAGTCAGGATTGTCCTAACTTTCAGTCTCACTTCCTAACGTGAAACTTCCACATGACTGTGGTAACCAAAATGACGAGATCTGAAAATGGGTATTTCATAGAAACTAGAAATAACTGGATGTAAAAGTGTGGTTTTCAGCTTGTGAATGAAACATGGTTACCTCTTTGCAGATTGCCCTGCTGCTGTTGGAAAATGGAGCAGACCCCAATGCTACTGACAAGCTGGACTCTACGCCTCTTCACAGAGCATCTGCCAAGGGCAACTACCGGCTCATCCAGCTGCTTCTCAAACAGAGTGCATCAACAAATATTCAGGACTCACAGGGCAACACGCCTCTGTATGATTACATATATGTCACATGCAATTTTTTTTTAACATCATGCAATATGAATACAAAGATGAACTCTAATTATACCTAAAAATAAAATGTTTTCTTACTTATCCTAGCAGTACTAGAAGTTATCATCCACATTACATTAGCTGTACAGTGTGATTAGCATTTGGGGGAGGCATTTCTGTATTTATAGTTATGCATTGATTTTTATTTTTTTCTTCTCCCAGCCATCTTGCATGCGATGAGGAGCGTGTTGAAGCAGCCAAGTTGCTGGTGGAACATGGAGCGAGCATTTACATTGAGAACAAGGAGGAGAAGACCCCGCTCCAGATAGCAAAGGGCAGTCTTGGGAACATACTCCGTCGGATCGTGGAGGGATGATGCTTTGTCTGACCGACGCGTCTTGTTCCAGCTCAAATCCCCACCACCAACCGCCAAATTACATTCTAAGATTTCCCATCCCGCTCAGTCCTCCTTAAGCGGTCCGTGTGGAAGATGAGATGATGGACTCAGATGGTGCTTTGAGACTGCACAGATCTTATTTGTTGTCTGAGCACAGGTTTTCAAACCCCACAGGCTATTTTCTATTAAATTTGAATTGTAATGTAAAACATGAAGTTCAACCTGTTAATAAATGTGTTGTTCATGAATGACGCACTGCTGCCTTTAGTAATTTAAGCTATTATTGCACAAAATATTGTGAATGTTTCCTACATTTTTGTTCTTTTTATTATTAGCTTATACCCAGGTTCCTTAAAGACTAACTGAAAATATTGTTGCCTACCTGCAACAGTATTAACCTCTCACCTGGTGATGGTGACATATAGGTGTGGCAACAGTGCAACAGAGCTTTATCTGACCACACCCCAAAACCCTGGACATTAAGAATCCTAAGCAAACCGTTTTTGGACTTCTCAGATTTCAGATTAACTGAATAACAAATAAAAAGTTGTGCAGCTTCATTGTTTTTAAGCTAAATCTTAAATAATGCGTACCTTTGAATGTAGCATGTCAACCTGACAACTTCCCAGCACAACAGCTATTTAAATCCTGCAGTAGTCATGCAATATATGTTATATGTTTTTTATAATACTGCCAATACAAGGAACAGTGAGTGGAAAACAGAAGTGGCCAGATTTTCCCTATTGACGTAGTGCTGCAAAGCGTTTGTTTCTTGTTCCCTGTTCCACATGTTGAGATTATGGCCCACATTTTTATTAGCGGAAGTTTTCAGCCTTCTTTTCTATAGTCTGCCTTTTACTCAATGGCTGTGAAGGAAGCGGAAAAGGGTGTCTTCATAGGTCATTAGCTGTCGACACTGAAGTGGAAAATTTCCCCCACAAGCAAAGCAGGTTTTTGTGGAACATGACTGAAACTACCACAAAGGAAAATAAAGCTAGAATAAGCATGAAACTGCTGGGAAGGCAACTCTCACTTGTAACTCAGCTCAAAAAAACAAATGGATAAGTTGATGGAAGCCAAATGATTGCTGGAGAAAACGGAAAGAACAGTAAATAATAGTTTTAAAGGACTCTGAGACAAAAAAGAAGAATACATGAAAGTGAAAAGACTGTCACTTAACAAAAATATCAAGTTTTAGCACATGCTAAAAGATTCTCAGTGTTAGGAATGGGTCCAATGTTCTACCACATTGAGTTTGCTGGGATCTGGCCAGCCTATAAATTGAGGAAGCTTCAAATTGCCTAAAAATAAATGAATAGTTTTTAGGTATTTAAAGGATGGCCAAGGTGAGCAACAGCACTCAAGTATGCTGTGACATTTAAATGATGTTCCTTTGGTATTAAGAGGCCAAGAGTAACCATTTCAGCACCATCAGCAGCTGCTTGAACCACTGATAAAAACCAGGCTGGATCCACGACTTCATGTCGTTTAATCCAAATGTACAATTTGGATCCAAATGTACAGTACTTTAACTCTGGAAACAGAAGCTGTGAGATGGACCTTTAAAAAGGTCAATCCTCACAAAGCTCCAGGACCAGACGGCATCCCAGGCCGGCTTCTCAGAGTGTGTGCCGACCAGCTGGCAGGGGTGTTCACCAACATCTTCAACCTCTCCCTGAGGCAGTCAGTGGTCCCCACGTCCCTCAGAGCATCCACCATCATTCCCGTTCCCAAAAAATCAGTGGTCTCCTGTCTGAATGACTACCGTCCTGTTGCACTGACATCCGTCATCATGAAGTGCCTGGAGCGGCTGGTCAAAGGTCACATCTGCTCCTCCCTCCCTGACACATTGGACCATCTTCAGTTTGCCTATCGGACAAACAGAGCCACAGAGGATGCCATCGCCCAGGCAACGCACACCACCCTCACTCACCTGGAGAAAGGGAATACATATGCAAGGATGCTCTTCATCGACTACAGCTCGGCATTTAACACCATCATCCCCTCAAAACTTGCCACGAAGCTCGTCGACCTTGGGCTGGAAACACCAATCTGCAGATGGACTCTAAACTTCCTCACAAACAGGCCCCAGGTGGTGAGAGTTGGTAAGCACACCTCTTCACCATTCATCCTAAACACAGGTACGCCACAGGGTTGTGTGCTTAGCCCCCTCCTATATTCCCTGTTCACACACGACTGTGTTGCTAAACACGAGTCCAACATCATCATCAAGTTTGCGGATGACACAACCATCATAGGCCTCATCACAGGCAATGATGAGACGGCCTATAGAGAGGAGGTGATGGCGCTGTACGAGTGGTGTCTGGAAAATAACCTGACTCTCAACATCAGCAAAACTAGAGAGATGATAGTGGACTACCGGAAACAACCAGTCAGAGAACACCAGCCCAGCCACATCAACGGTATCAAGGTCGAAAGGGTCAGCAGCTTCAAGTTCCTTGGAGTCAACATCACAGAGGACTTCTCCTGGACCCTTCACACAAACACTGCTATCAGGAAAGCTCGCCAGCAGCTTTATTTCCTGAGGAGGCTGAGGAAGTTTGGCATGAACGCCAACATCACCTCAGATTTTTACAGGTGTGCAATTGAGAGCTTGCTGACGAGCTGCATCACAGTTTGGTACGGAAGCTGCTCTGCCAGCAGCCGTAAGTCACTACAGAGGGTGGTGAAGGCAGCAGAGCACATCACTGGCACGAGGCTTCCTGCCATGCAGGACATTTATCTCCAGCGATGCCTCCGTAAAGCACACAGCATCATCAAGGACCACAGCCACCCAGCACATCAGCTGTTCTCCTTGTTACCATCTGGCAGACGTTACAGGAGTCTGTCTGCTCGGACTACAAGACTCAAAAACAGTTTTTACCACCAAGCCATACAACACCTCAACCACAACACTTAAACACACACAACACAGTCCACAGGACGCACTCACAAGTACTCTGTTTAATCTGCACTGGTCACTCCACGTTATTGTTATTGCTATTTATATTTAAAAGTGCAATACTGTAATTTTCTGCTGCTCATTCCTGTGCAATATCTCATCTGCCCTCCCTTCATATTTCTTTTCAAGATTTTCTTATTTAATCACTAGTGTACATATATTTATATTTATAGATACATATATATTTAGTCATCTTTCTCTTTTACCACATCTCTCTAATATTTTGCTCCTTACTATTTTTTATTACTTTATTTTATTTTATTATATTTTCTTCTACTGTATCATGCTGCTGAGTGACTGCTGCTTGTCAAACACATTTCATTACAATGTTGACCATGTGCTAACTTGCATATGACAAATAAAACTGAAAACAAACATGTTCTCAGCTCACAGGAATGCCATCGGGTGTAGTCTACTGCTGAGTCTCATCTACCTCAATGTTTATTGTGTGTTTAATAAAATGCAAAGAACAACATACCAAGGTGTGGTGTTCACACCACATTATGCGCTTCTTCATACCTTGCAACTGACATTCACTGAATAGTTTTTTTTATTTTTTTTTATTTATTTATTAAATACTAGTATTGCAGGAAAATCCCAGTAGATTAGCAGTTTATTATCAGATTTGCCCATCTTGCACCAGCAACCGTGTTTAAATCACCTTTCTTCCCCATTCTGATGCTCAGTTTGAGGTCGTTTTTACCATTTCTGCCATTTTCCTAAGTGCATTGGCTTGCTGCTCTGTGACTGGCGGATTCGATAGGAGATACATTTAAAGCTTGTTGGCTTATAAACATAGCTCTCCTGGACGATACTAAGCCATTTTGAGCGAACCCCCCCCCCCATTCTGATCAGAACGTAGAAGCATTTTAACATTTTAATGCAATTTGACTCTTACATAAGTAATCCAGGTTTAAAAATATTATTAATATCAAAAATTTCTTTTTCCAAGAGATCTGGCCAAACACGGAAAACCACCACGGCACAACCCTTTCCTGACGTCACCTGATAAGGCTGTTTTCACTTCCTGACAGGGAGGTCACAAAAGACTTCACCGGAGTCTCCTTTCCGAGGTGTTCGCACTCTACAGTATCTGGAGGAAACAGAGGAGCTGTGTTGAAAGGTAAACATTTAAAATTTCGTTATTATATTCGATAAGTCACTGGGTGACCTAGCTAGCGTTGCGTAAAAAGGCTAAGCTAATGTAGCTACCAAGCACTCTGAAGCTAGCATTCGCGATTCCGCTTACGATCCTAGCAGTACAGATCCAAAGCACAGGTCAGAGGCCAAGATTGTCGCTTTGGGTGTTTACATTTTACATATAAAAGCACTTTTAGGTAACTGTATTGACTAATTTCTAACTGAACAAAAACACGGTGTGGGTTTAGCGAGGTCTTGGCTGTCAGTTGCTGTCATTGTTCTCGGCGTTTCCCAGAAACAGTACGGCTTCTGTGTCGTGTTCAACTGAAGCAAAGCTGTGGGGCCTTTCTGGAATTTGCTGGGGTTATATCCTCTCCACTCTGATCATTAATAAATGTTAAAAGAAACACGTGGAACTGCTTGTGGGAAAACTCCCCTGTCGCTGGTTTTACTTTCGGTTAGATGTCGTTCGCAGTTACGAGTCAGTCAAAAAGTGAGCATTTTAATGCGTGGGACGATGCAGTCTTGGCTCAAGTTAAAAAAAATAAAGGGATGACGCTGGCGATTGATTTACTTGAAATAATGCAGGCACCTAAAGACAGTTCAAAGATCGCATCCCATCAATACGGCAACGTATCAGCTGATAAACAGCTGTTTAAACATCTGACCCAGCACACAATCGGTGACTGTGTGCTGTCGTTGGACGATAAGTCCATTTTGCGTCAAACTATGACGCTGAGGAATGTAAAGATTCTGAAATCATAGTTTCACGCCTTGGGTTATTATTGCTCTCTTTCCTCATATTCTGCATTGCCAGGATGTCAAACTCATTTTTCTTCTAAGGCCACATACAAGCTCACTTTAGACCTCAAGCCCAGTGAAACTACCCAGTGAAACTACCCTTACTCTCAGCGTTAAGAAGTTTATCTGCAAAATCTCATACTTGAGGTATCAAAAAAGAAGGGTGATTTCAACAGTACTTCTCAGATTTTCTTCAGGCCATAGAAACACTGCTGCAGTAGATCAAAGAAACCTGTCAGCACAGCTCTCCAGGGTTAAATTGTAAGAAATAAATGCATAAACTTTCAGAAGTTCTGGCAGCTCATTTCTCAGACTGTGCTGTAATTGTAAAAGAGAAAGTTTCTGTTAATTCACAGAAAATGCTCGCCTCCTCCCTTTAAAAAACAAACAAAAAACAAAACAAAACTCTGGGCAGAGTAAAAGGGCAGGGATAGCTCAGTAGGTAGAGTGGTGGCGCCATGATCGGAAGGTCGGGGGTTCGACTCCACTGAACGGCTACCCCGAGGTACCCCTGAGCAAGGTACCGTCCCTACACACTGCTCCCCGGGTGCTGCATTGGTGGCTGCCCACTGCTTCACTGGGTGAATGGGTTAAATGCAGAGGAACTATTTCCCTATGGGGACTAACACATTACATTACACATTACCTTTTTGAAAAGAAAAAACAGACATTATTATTGTAGACAGATAAAACAGGAACTATTCTGTCATTTTATTGTTTATGTATTACTTAATTACTTTGGTGTGTTATGAACGGGGAGGTCTCTGTCAATAGGAAAAGCAGTAAAACTACAGTCAAAAGCCCAAAATACATTCCTTCTTTCACATTTTCCAAAGCTGTACAGCGAACCGAACCGGCTGATTCTGGCTCCTGGGCCTTTTGTTTGAGATCTCTGCTGCATTGTATCTTCGAGCAGTATAACCCTTTTATGTGGTGTAATATGCAATGTGCCTGTAGACAAACCTGCCTCTCCAGTGCCCATCCCTCACATGGAACATTCAGTTCCTGCATGTGATAACAGGCTGGCATTCTCTTAAAGGTACAGAGACCCTGCAGATGTGCCGTTTGGCTCTCTGGCGCCAGACATGGAAATGCAGCAATTTAACCACTGAAGAGTCTGTTTACAAACAAACAAGCAAATGAGGAGACTGTACCATTTTTGTTTGTTTTTTTCAAACATATCCTGTTTCTTTCTATTTGCAGATCATCTGTCCATCAAGTTAACAAATCCCTACAGCTTCCTGTTTCAATCATGTGTGATCTCAGTCAAGATGGTGTTTGGGAGTCGGACAATGCACACGATTTTTCCTCGTTGACAAGACGCATAGACTCATTCCGTGGCTCCAACCTTGCTAACAAGGTGCCTGCGGAAACACTGGCACAGGCTGGTTTCTTCTACACTGGCGAGTCTGACCGTGTCCGCTGTTTCAGCTGTAATATGACTGTGGATAATTGGTACAGTGGAGACAGGCCTGTAGACAAGCACAAGCAGGTAATCAAACTTGTAACATGAAAAAGTGGAAGTGGTTAATATTTCACTTTTTTTTGTCTGTTTGGTTTTCTTCCAAATTGATCTAATTCTAATTTTCTCATTCTCACAGTTTTCTCCATCATGCACGTTTCTCACCTGCGTCCACCGTACCAGTTTTAACCAGAATTCCAATACTGCACTAATCAGTGAAGAAGTAGGAGACGTGGAATATCGTTTGAGAACAGGTGAAGTGGTTGATGAGGCCCCCTACCCTATAGTTCCTCACATGAGAAATGAAGAAGCCCGACTTCGGACCTTCTCTTCTTGGCCCAACCGTACTCCGGTGAGACCCAGAGATCTGGCCCAAGCCGGCTTCTTTTACGTGGGGCAGAGTGACAAGGTTCAGTGTTTCTGCTGTGGTGGTCGGCTGAATGGGTGGGAACCAGGAGATTCTGCCTGGAGTGAGCACAGCAAGCATTATCCCAACTGCTACTTTATCCTTGGGCATGATGTTGGGAACATCCCAATCCAGACAGGTATAGAGGAGGATGCCAGCAACAATCGGCGTGCAAATGACCCGGCCTTAATGCAGAATTTTGAGGCAAGGCGTGCTACTTTTGCTGGTGTCCGGCACCCTATTTACCACGAGAGGCTTGCCAGAGCTGGCTTCTACAGCACAGGTAATGTTCAGGTGTTTGAGGCTAAAGAAACATTGTGCAACATTTTAAAATGTATGATCTAAATTTTCTAGTAGGTAGCTGTGAATGCAATCAAATGTAATTTGTATCCTTGCAGGAAGAGGAGACGCAGTCTTGTGTTTCCATTGCGGTGGAGGCTTGAACAATTGGCAGCCTGAGGAAGACCCTTGGGTGGAGCATGCCAAACACTACCCAGGGTAAGAACAACTATGGTACCCCCGTCTTCTTAATATGCTTTTACACATATGTATACACACACACAGGTTGTCTTCTTTGTTCTGTGGCATTTGCGTCTGTTTTAATCAAAGTATATACTGTTTTAAAACAGGTGCAGCTTCCTTTTGGCAAACAAAGGGCCAGAATTTGTCAACAGCATCCAGCTACAAAGACCACAACACGACAGAGCTGTAAGTTTTTGCTTTTTCCACAAGTTGTGGATGCGTAAACTACAAATTAACATTCCCTTAAAGCACTGTCAATATCAACACTAGAGGTCTGGTGTATGTGCCCAAATGAAAGTTGAACAGTGCTGAAAATCTTAAGGTTAGTTTAGAAAGGTTTTCATCATGGATTGCAAAGCAGGAAGGCTCACATTGTTCTTCACAGACAATCACTAACTTGTTTTGGAAATGTACCATACTTTATATGTATAAATGGGTGTATATGAATATTTGGGAGTATATTAATTTTCTACACCAGAAAAATCATCAGTAGTCCCAGATTGGGCTCTAGTTAAAATAAGCTTAGTGTTCCATTTTAGCGTGTGAAAGGAGCGTCATAATTAAAGGACTTACAGTCTTCAGTGATCTCAATCACAGGATTTTGTTTTTCTATGTTTGCTTCCAGGCTTCAAGTCATCAAAATCCAGTTTCAGAAGATATGGAAGGTACATTTTTCTTTTTTTCTTTTTTACTTCAGTGCCCCAGATACATCATGAAACAAAGTCTGAACAGTGCTGACTTCTGTTTATTTAATTTTATGTCAGATGAGGACCCACTGGAGAAACTACAGAGGCTGCAGAGGGAAAAACAGTGCAAAATATGCATGGACAGAGATATTGCCATTGTATTCATTCCATGCGCTCACCTTGTTGCTTGTGAGAATTGTTCACAAGCCCTCAACAAGTGTCCGATCTGCTGTCAAGACATAACACAGAAGATCAAGACCTATATTGCTTGAGAACAATATACTCTTGCTCAGACGCAATGCTGCTTTTACGCTGTCATGATAATATTGTAATTATATCGTAATTGTAAAGTAGAGAGCCTATAATATTATTTATGGATCAATTTTCTTTAATAAATCTTAGAATGATAATGTGTAAAACTATATTTTCCTAGTCCTTACAATGGTAAATATCTGTATAGATGTAGATGGTTTTATAAATAGTTCCTTGAGATGTAAATACACATTAAAGGGCCGTTCCTATTTTGAAACACATTTTGCCAGAAGTGCCTTTCTTTTGGTTTATGTATTCTAATGCATCACTTACCACAGATAAATTGACTTGGATGTTATTGCTATCATTTTCATCCACTTTTATCCTATTTATTCGGATTTAACTTGTGTGTTTTATGTATAGAACCAGTTGCTGTGTCTTTACATTTCTAAGCTCAAGTTTAGGGCTTGGAGTTAACCATTGTAATGTAAGAATCATTTTATTGTTTCTTTAATTAAGTGTGAATAAATAATTATGCAGACTTGGAGTTTCATTTCATCACTAAACAAAATGTTTTGTGTTGTATTTGCAGAGATGATCCCGGTGCACTGATTGTGCAATGTTAGCTAGAAAGTCACATTTCTATCAGATGAGGTTTGAGAAAGTGTAAGAGTGATGTAGCATTTGACTGCCTATAAACTGAAGTGATGGCAGATGGTAAAATATACAAGAACTGACCCAAATTAATCAGATTTAGAAACAGATTTTTAGTTTTTGTGCAGCATTTTAGTTTCAATTATGGTAAAAATCATTACTCATATAGAGTAATGATCTTGTAGGAATTAGATCTGTATTTTATTAAGTATCTCATGACGGACCACCAGGTGTCGTCTTTACATATCTCCACAATCTTCCTAAAGGACAGTAGGGGAGGGTGTTTTAACCCTTACAGCAGAATTGGAGAACTGTCTTATCTGATGTGCTAAACAAAATACCTTGTCTATATGTTGCTTAGCTCCTTAGTTTGTTTTTGTTTGTGTGTAAGTTGTCACTGTGAACTGGGAGGGAACTGCAGACGAGAACCATACAGATTTGCTACGATACTTCAAATAGTAACATCCTAGGTCAGTATTGTGTGCTCCTTTTATACATACAAAACAAATAGCTAGAAAAGCTAGCCCACGGAAAACAGAGGCGGTAGTGTTTCCGTGCAGTTCTCGTCAGTTACCACTAGATGTCAGGCTATAAACCGTGCATTCAGTGCGAGTATTGTGGCCGCTAGGTGGTAGCTCTGCACCAGGATATCCTCCTCCCAGGTCGTCGAAACAACAAACCGAACTACGGAGCAAGCGGGGTGAGAGAACGTCCGAAACCGCCTCTGACCGCGACTTTTAAACTCTTTTTACAGAATTGTGGCGGAATTCAGACGGAGGCTGTATACGAGTAGTAAAAGTTACGATTGTACCGGGACTACATTTCACAACAAGGTAAGTTAGCTGTAAAATGGCGGAGAGCTATCTGGAACTTAGTTGATTTGTATTTTGCTAGCTGTCTCGCTAGCCAGGCTAGCTTTAGATGAGCGCAGAGCGCGGATGTCTGCCTGAACCAAGTCGCTTCGCTAGCTCGCGGAACATGGCTACTTCGGTTGTTAGCAGGCTAACGAACTGGATTTTTTACACAGCGGCGCAAAATACGTAGCTCGAAACAGACCGAAGCGTTTTATTGCCACAACCGACTTACTTGCACTTTATATATTTGTAAACAAAGTGTTTGTTGCTTATGCAATACGGTACTGGAACTCCCGAGGCAAGATGGAGGACGCAAGGACGTGATGTTTTTTTAGGTAACGTTAGCAGTAGCTCTTAGCATTGCTAACTAGTGGGAGTTATTTTCAGCTCGTCCATTGGAGTTTATCTGCTATTATTTACTTTATCTTCGGACGAAGACTGGTTACGAGTGACACGTAGACAGAAATTAGTTAATGTACACGGCAGCATTGCTGACTAGCCTTATTGTGTTCTGGCTAATATTAGCTTACGCTAGTACAGAAAGGCTTGCGTTGTTTTGTTATTATGGTCCAACTAGTATAGCAATGGTAAACGCTGGCATGTTCTGAAAATCTGACGATATTGCATTGTATGCGCTTCTCGTTCTTCTTATTTGGCTATTCATAGTTTGTTTTCCCTAAGTAGCGCATGCTTACTTCATCAAATTTCAACTAGCTGACGCTGGGGAAAATACGCCAAAAATCCACGGTTACTTAGCTACTCGCGCTAGCACCAGCAGCGCACCGGCGTCAATTTTGACAGGAACCGACGAAGAGCGGCTCCGTGTCGGCAGCGTTGGGGCGAGCGGAGCCGGTAGTTGGTGGTATAGTTGTCCTTGAAAAATTCACATAGTTGAGTTTCACATTAGCGTGTTTTTTGTTATATAGCATTCTTTACTGTCGTTTCGCATTAACAAGTTTATGAGATACACTCCCCGATTTGGCGCCACTTTTTCTGTCTGCACGAATCCCGTCGTCTTGTCATGCAGTATCCCCCTCACTATCAAGGAAATGGGTACGGTACCAAACTCTCAAATCAAGAATTAACTGTGAAAAGCTGAAACTCACATAGTCATAGAAACATCATCATATTGAGCACTACTCTTTGCTTTGTTGTTAGCTGATGTTAACCAATTTCACGTTTACTATTTAATTCACAGTAAACAGTAATAACCTGTAATTTGGCACGCGTGAGCCTTCATTTTGCGTGAAATTGTAAGAATCAATTTGCTAACGTTACTTTCGATTTAAATCGGATAGTCGGCCTTAAAGTTTACTAAGTAATTGTGTCTGGTTTAATAATGGAAGAATGACAACGTTGTGTATGTTAGCTCTAAGTGTACTAGGACTGAAAGAGGGACTCACTGCACCCAACCTGGTGTATAATGGGTGGAGTTTGTCTTTTCCAGACTGAATCGTTTACTCGGTAGGGCTTTTATTGATTTCACTGACTGCTACAGAAAAAATTACATTTGGTTCAGAGTGGACATGGTATTAGTCCTGATTTGAAAAGTTACTTCTACTTGCTACTTTGATCTGTGTGCCACTAATTTACACTTCACAACCATGCAATAGTTTCCCTGTGGCCTGCAGAATCTTGTTGATGTTGATACTGGCATTTGATTGGTTGAGATATGTATGGGGCGGATAGGGCAGTGCCATATTTGGACATTGAGGAAGACACTCCGGTCTTGATTGTATGACGTTGTCTGTAAACCCAGGAGAGCAGAGAAAGGGAGGGAGCCAATGGTTGGACAGTGAGCATGACAGGAGCGTTTGTGTCCGCCCCCTGTTACCATGTGAAACCTTTTTTTCTTTTTTCCTCTCTCACTCTCTCTTTCAAAGACATCAAAGTAACATTTGCTCACTACAGATGCTGTGATTTCTGGAAACACAAAGTGTTTATTTTGTTTAGTTTTCAGTGTTGCTGGTGAAATGTGCAATAAGACTGCATGTGTAGCACTCTACAACAATTCTGCTCCATATTCTAGGTCACATGCAACGTCTCCTGCCTTGTATTTTGTGAGGATTATAAGCCAGTCGTAAGTTAAAGTTATCCAGAAGATGTTGCAACAATGATAGCACCAGAAATACCATCAGAGTTCGCCTATACTCAGTAAGTATCTACTAATAGTTTACATTTATTGTTAAGGTTAAGGTTGATCTGATATCTCATGCAGTTATTTGTTTTTGTCAGGGATACAGACACTCGATTCTCCTCAGACACAGACTTCTCTGAGGATCCTGATGGAAGGAGTGCAAATTCAGCTAAAGGAAAGGTATAGATGCAACAAATGGACCATTGCACGAGTATTGGTAACACACATTGTTTTTCTTTCCTTACGCTCTGCAGTGGTTCTCAGATTTATATTTGTTTTTTCACTACTTTCCCAGGGTGGAAAGAAGGGGAAGAAGGCAGCAGGGGAGAAAGGAAAAGGAGGGAAAGGAGCAGGCCGTATAAATGGCCACCACCAAGAGAATGGCATGGAAAACATGATGCTGTTTGAGGTTGTGAAGCTGGGAAGGAGTGCAATGCAGGTATGAACAGGAAACCCTTTGAAATTGCCACCTTTTTTCCCTTTTCTTTTACTCAGTAAGAGAAAAAAATACACAACTTGTGCTTGTCCCCATCTTCTTGCAGTCTGTTGTTGATGACTGGATTGAATCTTACAAACATGACAGAGATGTTGCACTGTTGGATCTCATCAATTTCTTCATCCAGTGCTCAGGATGCAAAGGTATTTATGTTTCTCAGCTTCAGTACGAATACTACACGATTGGCTGTTTTTTAAACTATATTGAGGAAGTATGTAGTCTTTGTTGTCCTGCAGAACCTCCCTCCACTCATCTGAATCAGTAGTTCTGCTTTTCCACTCAGGAAATTGTCTTCTGTCTAACCTCTTTATTCTTCATCTTCTCCTTCTTCTTCTGTGTTTTTTCCTGTCAGGTGTGGTTACTGGAGAAATGTTTCGCAACATGCAGAACTCTGAGATCATCCGACGGATGACAGAGGAATTTGATGAGGCAAGTTACCACATTAGACTAATAATCACACCATATTCGCTATAAATCACTTAAGTTTGATTTCAGATGCCAAATACAGAATTCATGTACGTACCAAGGACAATAAACTTTGCTAATTTGTGGTAGATAACTGCCCCTTGTACTAGTCATTGTAGTGAAGGACTGTCGTTCCTCTGTGTACTTTGCAGGACAGCGGTGACTACCCTCTAACCATAGCCGGGCCCCAGTGGAAGAAGTTCAAAACAAGCTTTTGTGAATTCATTTCGGTGCTAGTGCGCCAGTGTCAATACAGTATCATCTATGATGAGTATATGATGGACACAGTCATCTCCCTTCTCACCGGACTATCGGATTCCCAAGTCCGAGCCTTCAGACACACCTCAACACTGGCAGGTAAGATCGTGTGTGTTTATGAATTATATTTAAGTGTTTGTGCTGATTTACAATCAATGGCTTCTTTTCCAAGCATACAACAGTTAGCTAGCTGGGAAAAGTTGTGTGTTTTAAAGGTTCTTCCTTGTTGTATCCTTGTGTTTGAACTGGAGACTCATTTGTAGTGCTCTTGGATATTTATGAGGTCAGAAATTTTCATTGGTGTAAACTCTAGTTTTTTTTTTATACAGTCTGCACATTTTGTTTCATAGTAGTATTAAAGTTAATAACCCCAGTGATCAACCTAGATGGGCCACCTGCACAAATGTTTTAAGTTATTTTTTGTGATTAGATTCTTTTAAATGTTTTTACACTCCTAAGGGCAGGGCAACTGAAGTCTTTATTATGAGCATGTTGTGTACACATGAACACTTAGGATAAATGTAAGCAGCAAAGGGGGATTTAAACGCATTAAAAAACGCAGAAGAATCTTGATCATATGCTCTACAATAATCCGAGCTGTGTAGAACACATAGCCGATATTGTTAGGCTTAATGCTTACTCTGTCACGTGGGTACTGTGACTATAAAACATACAGGGGGTTTTTCTATCTGGAAAGTTGTTGTCATGAACTTTCAGTATGCTTTTTTTGTGTGCTTCTGTTTGGGTGTCAGTGTTGGTCTTGGCAGGCTGGCCTGTTTCAGCTGGTGGATAGTTATTTTAGATAATACACTAGTTAATGATTGTTCTCTGCACCTAAGCTACTGTGTTACCCAGGTGTTGCTAAAACTGGATTTATTCATAATCAATTTGCTTTGAGTTTGGTGACTTGTCGTCTTTTGTAAAGCATACTTGAATTCAAGGTGTCTACTTAGTCAGAATTAAAGGAACCCAAACATTTTTTTTTTTTCCTAAAATACAAATATTGTTCCAGTTGTGACCATTTCACCATCCTCTAAATTTAAGGTATTGCAATTTTGCTCTGTAGTGCAATCAGAACTAACTTTCATTGCAAATTATTAATACCAAAACCCACTGATGTCAGATAAGCTCACATAACTTAATGAGAGATAGTTTTGAAATAATCTACAGATAACAGAAATTATTTTATTTCTTCATGTTCTTTGTGTTTTTGACAGCCATGAAGCTGATGACAGCCCTGGTGAATGTAGCTCTAAACTTGAGCATCAACATGGACAACACCCAGCGCCAGTATGAGGCAGAGAGAAATAAAATGGTCGCTAAAAGGGCAAATGACAGGCTGGAGCTGCTGTTGCAAAAACGTAAAGAGGTAAGCATTGCAACGATTGGTTGCATTTGTTTTTGTCATGCAGCTTATTACATTAAGCACATGTCATGTTTATTCATTTGTACGTTTGACACTTAAACTTCACATTGAAAACTGGTTTGTTTGAGTA